CATTAGCTGCCTGACTTTCTAGAAGATAACCAGTAGAGGGCACTCTAGGATTTACAGACTGCAGAAAATGCAGATATTCCCCCTCAGGAATCAGCAGTGCCTGCCTTCACCTTTTATCTTCAGCAAGATATTTTCATCTTATTAGGAGCTTGCCCACTGAATTATTGTTGAATGACTTTCTTGGTGATAAAAACTAAAGTTTAATATGCAATATTAATGAATATTACATAAATAATTTAAAAATAACTTTAAGAGGGATGAAGGTTTAGCATTATGGTTTAAGATGTCTGCATCCTTTATTGAAATACATGGATTCAAGGGGCCAGCACAGTGGCGCAGTGGGTTAATGCCCTGGTTTGGGGCGCCGGCATCCCATATGGGCACCGGTTCGAGACCTGGCTGCTCCAATTCCTGTCCAGCTCTCTGCTATGACCTGGGAAAGCAGTAGAGGATGGCCCAAGTCCTTGGGCCCCTGCACCCGCGTGGGAGACCCAGAAGAAGCTCCTGGCTCCTGGCTTCTGATCAGCACAGCTCTGGCCATTGCGGCCATCTGGGGAGTGAACCATTGGATGGAGGACCTCTCTCTCTCTCTCTCTCTGCCTCTCCTTTCTCTGTGTAACTCTGACTTTCAAATAAATAAATCTTTAAAAAAAAATACATGGATTCAAGTCCTGGTTCTGCTTTCCATTCCATCTTCCTATTAACACCCATTCTAGGAAGTAGCTGATGAAGGCCGAAGTGCTTGTGTCCCTACTACCCAAGTGGGAGGCCTGAACTGAGTGCAGTAGGTAAATGGAATAAACTGTGGTACTTTAATATTATCCACTGCTAAAAATAAATGACTTATAAAGCCATAAAAGGACATGGAGACACCTTAAACACATATTACCAAGCAAAAAAAATCCAAGAGGCAACATAGTGAATGATTCCAACTATGCCATTCTGGAAAACACAGAACCACACAGAGACAGTAAAAGGATAGGTGGTGGCCCGAGGTTAGGAAAGAAGGGGGGAAGAAAGGGTGGAACACAGAGGATTTTTAGGGCAGTGAGTCTGTTCTGTATGATACTGTAATGATAAACGCAAGTCATTATTTGTTTGTTCCAACCTGTAGAATACACAAAACTAAGAGTAAACGCTAATGTAACCTGTGGAGTTTGAGTGGTGATTTGCCAATATAGGTTCCTTGACTGTGACAATATGGACTACTCTGGTGCAGGATGTCAACAATGGGGGGAGGCAATGCAGGGTGGTATATGGATCTCTCTAGACCTTCAGCTCAAAACTGCTGTGAACTTAAAAAATAAAGGTGATTTAAAAAGAATTCTGGGTGCTTGTATCAGCATTCCCCAATTACTCAACATGTTCTCTGAATCAACCACTTAATTCTGTAGGGCTCCAGGTGATAATATACCCATGATTACTAAAATGTCGGTGGGGCAGGTGTTTTACATAGCAATTAAGGTGCCACTTGGGATGCCTGCATCCCATATTGCAGTGCCTATGTTTGAGTCCCATCTCCACGTCTGACTCCAGCTTCTTGCTAATAAGCACCTTAGGAAGCAGAAGGTGCTGGCTCTGGTGGTCTCTTCTACCCCTTTGGGAGACCTGGATCGAGATCTAGGCTCCACTTTGCTCAGCCTGGCCCAGCTGTGACTTTTGCGAGAATTGGAGTGCAAATTTTGGAGAGGGAAGATCTGACTATGGCGGGTTGTCTCTGTTTCTGTCTCTCTGCCTTTCAGATCCATTTTTAGAAATTAAAATTGAAAAAGGAACACCAAGATTTCTGGGGGCAGGCATTGTGCCACAGTGGGTAAGCTGCTGCTTGTGACATCTGTATGTCTTATCTGAGCATCTGGTAGGAGCCATGGATCCTTCCCTTCTGATCCTGCTCCCAGCTAATGCACCCGTGGAGACAGAAGGGGCTAATCCAAGTACATGGGCCCCTGACACCTGCATGAGAGACCCAGATGGAGTTCCAGTCTCCTGGCTTCAGCCTGACTCAGCCATGGCCATGGTAGCCATTTGGAGAATGAAGCAGCAGATGGAAGATCTCTCTCTCTCTGTCTCTCTCTCTCTGTCTCTCTACCTCTCTGTAGCTCTGCCTTTCAAATAAATAAAAATAAATCTTTAAAAAGGGCTTATTTTTTCAAAGATTTATTCTGTTTATTTGGAAGGCAGAGCTACAGAGAGAGGGGGAAAGACACAGAAAGAGGTCTTCCATCCACTGGTTCACTCTCCAAATGGTTGCAATGGCTGGGGCTGGGCCAGGTTGAAGCCAGGAACTTTATTCGGGTCTTCCATGTGGGTACAGGGTCCCAAACACTTGGGCCATCTTTTGTTGCTTTCCCAGGTGCATTAGCAGAGAACTGGATCAGAAGTGGAGCAGCCGGGTCACTGGCCAGCACCCATATGGGATGCCAGCGCAGCAGGCGACTGTTTAACCGGCTATGCCACAGCATCAGCCCCAAAATAAAGGTTTCTTACTCTTGTACACGCTTGCCTGAATACACATTCATTGCCTGGACCCAAATGCAATGTGCATGTCCTGCCACAGAGGCCTTTAATTAACCCTTTAAAACACCCACATGCTCTGAGAAGCCTGGCAGGAGAGCAAAGCTTGCTGTGTTCCACCGTTCAGAAATCGCGGACCAAAGGATTAGCATGTTCCCTGCGAATACCCAGAAGCTACCAGAACTTCACCAGGAATGAATCTCCACGTGCTACAGATGCAGTCAAGTTCTTCTGCAGGAGGGAGGCAAGCTAACATCGGCTAAAGAGTTAGACTGAGTCAGCCACTTGCTGGGCACTTTGCACACACGAGCTCATGGCCTGTCTCTGGTATGGTGCTTACCTTGTTGCAGGCTGTGGACATGGCAGTGGCTCGAGGACCCACAGTGAGCTAGCGACAGGGCAAACCCAGATGTTTCTGGCTCCGTGTGCCTTTCTTCAGGGGAGCTAAACGGCTCTGTCTTCAGACACTCTGCTGCGGTTTTCCTGGCATTGGCTGTAGCTGCTCTCCCTGGTGGCGTTCATTTTCAGTGATGGTTAATTCTCTATATTTTAGAATTTGCTTTCTTCCTGCACTATGCCTGTGTTCTTATGAAAACTCTCCAAAGCCAAGGTAATAGAAGCTTTTCTTTTTTATAGAAATAACTTTTATTGGGGACAGCTCTGTGGCATAGTGGGTTAAAGCGCTGGCATCCCATGTGGGTGCCAGTTTGAGTCCTGGGTGCTCCACTTTCTATCCAGCTCCCTGCTAATGCTCCTGGGAAAGCAGAGGAGGATGGCCCAAGTCCTTGGGCCCCTGCACCCACGTCGGGGACCCAGAGGAAGCTCCTGGCTTCAGATCAGATCAGCTCCGGCCATTGCAGCCATTTGGGGAGTGAACCAGCAGATAGAAGACCTCTCTCTGTCTCTGTGTCTCTGTAACTCTTTCAAATAAATAAAATAAATCTTTAAAAAAAGAAAAGAACTTTTATCCAGGGGTTGGGTGGAGCTAGAGGGAGCTGGTGAGGACAGCGAAGGGGGCCTGGTTTGTTTGTTTTTGTTTTGTTTTGTTTTTGTTTTTTTTTTTACTCTGTATAGTTCTGTGATAAATGCTTGACTATTTTATGATTAGAATGCACTCACACATTAGTTTTTTTCTTAGAACAGAAGGAAAAAAGGATCTTTCTAGGCAAATATGTGAAAACACTAGAAAGAACCACGGCGCCATGAATATTCTGTTTTTATGATATATTCCTAGTAATTAGAAGATAAAGAGCTCTATTGAGAAGAAGAGAGAGGACCAAGTTCTCAGTATACAGATGTGTGATCCTCTCTGTCCCGCACACCCTACACACAGAGACACAAACAAAGGCTCGTCATTGTTTCCTCTCGTGGCACAGCGATGACTAAGTGGCTGAATAAATCATCTGGGGTGACCAAAACTTCATCCCGGTCATTTGACACCGTTGAGGGGAGACTATGCTGGAAATGTGCAGCTGTTCAGATCCCTGCCACCCCCACTTTCGGAGGAGTAGGAGAGCAGTGGAGTCCACAGTCTCTAAGTGAAATAGCACGTTGATTTTAAACAGTTATCCCATCGGTGTGACAGCAAAAATATGTTTTCCCCTTCCTTCTCCAAAACTCCGGCACGGTTTTCATAACAAACCAAAGGCAAAAGTTGCAAATTTTTTTCGGGGTTCAATTTGCAATCCAGAGCCTGTCGAATTCTTTCAAGGTAGCAGAAACGGCTCTACAGTGATGTTTGCAGCAGTGAATGCAAGTGCTGGGGGTTACCTTCGTAGCCATGGATAAGGATTTAATCATCTCACCCTGTGATTCAGGATGTGCTGAAGAGTGGGCACAGCAGAGTAAGGGGCAACAGAGCAGCACACGCTGGGCCCCCTCTTCTGTGGCTCACTCTGCCTGAAAGTGGGTTAGAATTCTGTGCCGTGAGAGCTCTGTTTATTCTAGCGATTCTGGGGAAACGTCCCTGTGATGTGGCAGGTGCACATCAAATCTGTTTTCAACCTGCAACAGGTGGGACGTCATTTTTCTCTTGCTCACACTACCAGCTGAATAATCAGGGATGCCTCCTGTAGAGAGCAAATTTGGTACACACATGCACACACACACATATATGCACACACATAAATGCACACACATATCTGCATACATTGATATCTGTATCGTACTCCTGTGTGTATGTGTGTACATATGTGTGTGTGTATACACATACACTTTGGGGTGGAGAGTCATATGCCTTAAGAAACAGGGCCAGGAAAGCAATGGAGGATGACCCAAATGCTTGGGCCCTTACACCCAAATGGGACACCTGGATGAAGTTCCTGGCTCCTGATGTCAGCCTGGTCCAGCCCTGGCTACTGTGGCCATTTGGGGAGTGAACCAGTAAATAGAAGATCTCTCTCTCTCTCTCTCTCTCTCTCTCTCTCTCTCATCTCTGCCTATATATAACACTACCTTTCAAATAAATAAAATAAACCTTTTTTTTTCAGGGGAGAGTGGGAACACAGTCCCCCACTACCACAAATTATGTTTCCCGCATTTGGGGAAATCGCAGAGGTCAGCACATCCGGAGTGCAATGGATAAGCCTCGCCCTGGGAAAACCACCTTCGTGATCATGGTGTCTCCCCTACCAGGTAATTATAATAAAATAAATCTGAAAAAAAAAAAAAAAGAAAGAAAGAAACTGAGGGCCTACACAGCACATTTTCCTTCTGCCTGCCTTTCTGATTTTCCTCTCTGACCGTTTTCAGATCCTCGCGCTCCTGGCCGCTAAGCTTGTTCGCCATAAACTTCAACATCCTTGTGTGACCGGTACTCACACACACTCTGTTTAACCAGCTGAGCAGATTTGCTGCCGTCATGATGACTCCGTTGTGTTCACCCACTTGCTATTTTTATTTCATTCTCTTGGCTCTGCACACTTTCTGGTCACTTGGCTTGAGGGAGGGTCTTAACCCATCGAGGACGGTTGCCTCCTCTTCGATCCATAATACAGAAACGGGTTATTTTACATAGCACGTGGGCGAGCGCTGGGGCCGGTGTGGAGCTGGTCCTGAATGCTGTCAAGGACACAGATTCTTTCCGCTGGCTTCCTGGCCTTCCCCACCCAATTGGCTTTTGTTCCCCTGCTTGTCCCTCACGGTCTCCGGGGCAACTTCTCTTCCTGAGGATTATTCCTGGACTTTCCCCCGCAGCCCCAGGGCCTGCTCCGGTTTCCTTACCTTAGGCAGTCTGGCCTCAGGAGATCTCCGTCTGGGGCTTTGCACCTCTAGCCTGGCCTCACCCTGCCCCTCCCGAAGGTTATCTGATCTGACGCCAGCTGGCATCCCTGCGGGGGCCCCAAGCTTTTGGGAATTGAGTCAATCAAAAAGCTCAAGGGTGGGGCTCCTTGCCCTTTTCCTAATCTGTGCAGCCCTTTCCTTGGGGCCTCCAGGGAGGACCCCCACCCGGGCGCCCTGGGTCTTCTGCGTCTCCAGCAAGCCCTGCTACTTCGCTGGCCTAGAGGTCTCCCAAGGTTCAGACTGGCCTTTCTCAGAAACTCTAAGCTCCCTGGGAAAGGCCTCTGGCCTGTGGCTGCCGGTCTCCTCTCTCTGCTCGGTTCCGCTCCCCAACCACTCGTCACCTGGACATTCTATCTTGACTTTGGGGTGGAGGCCCCCTCAGCTGAATTCCCCCCCTCCTCCCCTGTCCGCACCTGTCACCGCGTATGTGCCATGAGCATTTATTATTCTGCTCGAATGCCGTTTAAAGCCAAGAACTCAAAGCAAATGGGATTATATTTAGTACGATCCATCTTTCTTTTCTTTCCCTCAGAAGGACTTGTATCAAAAACAAAGATGCAAAATCGCTGGGGTCTGCATTGAGTTAGAAGACCCAGTGAAGCTGTAAAAACGGACAGGAAACCAGCAGCTCTAGAGGCAAAGGCGGGAGGGCTTACTCTCAGGATGGCCAGATGACACAGGGCACGGCCATGCGGTGTGTGATGCCTTTTTTTTTTCTTTTGGCTCCTGGCCTCAAAAAAGGACAACCATAAAGGATGTTACTGGGGAAATTTGAATATGGGTTGGATTTTTGGTAACATTATGGTCCTAATGTTAAAATTCCAGAATGAGATACTTATTTTATGATTAGGTGGGAGGAATGTCCTTGCTCCTAGGAGATACACGCTGAAGTATTTTGGGATGAAGTGTCACAGCATCTATTATTAACTCTTAATAGTTCAGAACAAAATTTGTAAAAAGCTAGGGGGAGAGCAAGTGCAGTGAAATGTAATCGATAAACTGGAGTGCACAGCAACATGCAGTGCTGGTTATGCTACTTGCAGCTCTTCGATGTCTGCAATTTTTTCAAAATCAAAATTTGGAGTGAAGCTGTGACAGTTGGAGAAACCCTCTGATTTAAGTGTGTGTGTGTGCATGTGTGTGTGTGCATTTGTGTAAGGGGTAGGTCTCACGGTTAATTTTATATTTAGAAACTCTGGAGGTATAATCATTCAAGAAAGCAATGAGATCACTATCTATTTAAAATCTCCATTAACAGTCTACCCGGTGGAAGGGCTGGTTGGTAACGCCACTTCTGAAGCCAGGCCCCGGGCAGTTCCCCCTCTGAAGCTTCCACTTTTCTCACAGAGCCCTGTCTGCTGTGTATGCCCCGTGGAGGAAGTGGCCCGTGTTTTTCACTGCGGTTACTGTGCTCTAAAATAGACACGGCGCGCTTGGTTCTGTCACTCAGGTTGGGATGTCGTGCAGGTGGGAGGTGATGCATTGAGTTGCCGGATGGCAGGCTCTGTTCTAGACTTTCATGCATGCAAGCGTTATGGTGCAGATGGGTAAGCCACCACTCGGCAGGCCCGGATACAGCCCCAGCTACTCGACTTCCGATCCAGCTCCCTGCTACTGTATCTGGTAGGCAGCAGACGATGGCCCATGTGCTTGTGTTTCTGACAACCATGTGGGAGGCCCGGGAGAAGCTCCTGGCTTGTTGTGGCCATTTGGGGGAGTCAATGAGTGGATGGAAGATCTCTCTTCACTGTCTCTACCTCTTTTTCTGTCAAGAATGTTATAAAGAAATAAATATTTTTTAAAACAAAAGTTGCTCTGACACTCCTTAGGATCTCATGTTAGGATTGAATCTTCGCTGGTGCCGTGGCTCACTAGGCTAATCCTCCGCCTTGCAGCGCTGGCACAAAGTCCTGGTCGGGGCGCCGGATTCTGTCCTGGTTGCCCCTCTTCCAGGCCAGCTCTCTGCTATGGCCCGGGAGTGCAGTGGAGGGTGGCCCAAGTCCTTGGGCCCTGCACCCCATGGGAGACAAGGAGAAGCACCTGGCTCCTGCCTTCGGATCAGCACGGTGTGCCGGCCGCAGCGCGCTGGCCGCGGCGGCCATTGGAGGGTGAACCAACGGCAAAGGAAGACCTTTCTCTCTGTCTCTCACTGTCCACTCTGCCTGTCAAAAAAAAAAAAAAAAGGATTGAATCTTCTAAATAAATCAACAAATAAGTAGAATCATGGGTCATCCTCCAATTCACCTGTTCACTGTCACCATCCAAGAGGAAACGGGCATTTTGGTAAAACTTCAACATCGGTCGGTCAGTTCCCTTTCACACACTTCTTTCCTCATGTACGGGCACCAAGTGTCAGGATGTGAAAAGGCCTGCCTTCATAAATGAGAGTCCTTATTTTGCTTCAGAATAAGCTTGTATGCATACTGTATTAGCTGAAGTCTCTGTTATCTATTTTTAAATATTTATTTATTTGAAAGGCAGAGTTACAGAGAGAGGGGATGGGAGAGAGAGAGAGAGAGAGAGAGAGAGATTGTCCATCCACTGGTTCACTCCCCAAATGGCTGCAACAGCCAGGGTTGGGCCAGGCTGAAGCCAGGAGCCAAGAACTTCATCTGGGTCTCCTACGTGGGTGCAGGGCCCAAGTACTTGGGCCACCTCGTCTGCTTTCCCAGGCGCATTAGCAGGGAGATGAATCAGAAGTAGAGCAGGCAAGACTCAAATTGGTGCCCCTATGGGATGCCAGTGTTGCAGGCAGCAGCTTTACCTGCTGTGCCACAATGATTGTTTGGGTTTTCTTTGCTTTTCCATTAACTATTTATAGAATACATTTTTCTCTTCCTAATGATCATTTTAGTAGACTCAACCAGAAATTCAGTGCCTGGATCATCATTTTGGAAGGGCATTCATCTGGGTTCCTGGTCCAGGAACACTGCACAAACTATGGTCCAAGAATTTTTTTAGCTTTCACTTCTTTTTTAAACTTTAATTTGTTTTATATTTTGTTGGAAAGGTGAGAAGACATAGAGGGATTTTTCATTTGCTGGTTCACTCCCCAAATGCCCACACCAGCTGGGGCTTTGCTAGGTTGAAGTCAAAAGCCAGGAACTCAATCCAGGGCTCCCACATGGGTGGCAGGACCCAAGCACTTGTGTCGTTACCTGCTGCTGCCTAGGGTGTGCATTAGCAGGAAGCTGGATCAGAAGCAGAGTCAGGACTTGAAGCAGGCACACTGACAGGAGGTGCACCAAACACTGCCCCCAGCTTTCACTTCTCTTGCCTTCACATAGAGCCTGCAGCCCCAGATTTTACAGAACATTTCTAAGTAAAGAGAAGAAGGAATTTATATTACTAAAAGCTACTGTTGCCCAGGAATTATTCTATTTTGCCAGTGTTTACTCATTTAATTGGGGATGAATATAGTTTAGTAGTTACTAATTCTGGGCCACTTTGAGGAGTGAACTAGCAGGCGGAAGATCTCTCTTTTTTCTCTCTTCTCTGTCTCTCCCTCTCTGTAACTCTGCCCTTCAAATAAATAAAAAATAAATCTTATTTATTTAAAAGAAGGGTCAGCATTGTGGTATAGCTGGTAAAGCCACCGTGAATCTGGCAAAATATTTACAATTATTGAATCTATGTGGAGGGCATACATGTCCTCTGCACTTTCAATTTTTCACATTTTTCACAATAAAAGAGACTGTCCTCAGGTAAATATAATTATCATATTACCTAGCATATAACTGCTAGCTGCCTCCCCAGGAGAAATGAAAACACACATCCACACATAAAAGCTAGGAAGCTAACGTCCAAAACAGTATTATCTATAATAGTCAAAAAAGAGAAACAACCTAAAAGCCCATCAAGTAATGAATAACATTAACACTTTATTATAATGAAATAACATACTGTGGAATATTATTTAGTGATAAAAAAAGAATGAGAAAATTTTAAATATTTATTTATTTATTTATTTGAGGAGCAGAGTTACAGACAGAGAGAGGGAGAGACAGAGAGAGAGGTCCTCCATCCACTGGTTCACTTGCCAAATGGCTGCAGTGGTTGGAGCTGGGTTGATCCGAAGCCAGGAGCCAGGAGCCTCCTCCAATGTTTCCCACGTGGGTGCAGGGGCCCAAGCATTTGGGCCATCTTCTACTGCTTTCCCATGCCATTTACAGGCAGTTGGATCAGAAGTGGAGCAGTCAGGACTTGAACCAGCGCCCATATGGGATGCTGGCGCCACAGGCAGAGGTCTCATCCTCTATGCCACAGCTCCTGCCCTCAAAGAGTGAAATCCTGATGCAGACTACACGTAGATGGACTTTGAAAACGTGATGAAAAAGCAAGTCATGGGCCAGCTCTGTGG